TCACTAGTAGGCGCCATCACGACTCCCGAGGGTGGGAAATCCAGGCCGTGACAAGTTGGTATCAGAGCTCTAGATTACTTAGGTTTCACAATTCACAGACAAGCTTAGTAGAGTCTGAGGGATCGGTATGAACACATTTGTACTTATCCCTCAGAGGCTAAAGAGTTAGGAAAAACTTCACATCTATTCTTTCTTGTCGTGCGGTTTGGTTTCTCAATGCTAATCGAATTTCTACTCTATTCTTTCGCAGTTTGGTTTCTCAGACTCTAGCATCTCAGGCAGTTGGAGTAGTTCAATCGGGAATGGTAGCTCAGACCGGAGATGGAGCAGCTATGCCTGCTGATGCCTTGTGTAGATTAGACTGGTTTACCAAGCTCTTCACTACCACTTTCAGCGGTGCATCTTCTGAAGATCCCCAGGATTATTTGGACAGTTATCATGAGGTTCTCACGAACATGGGGGTAGTGGAGACCAATGGGGTCGACTTTGCTACTAAGGTTGTATTGTGGTCCGGGCCCGGGCCTAAATGGGCCAAACGGGCCGGGCCTAACGGTCCCGAGCTTTGGCGGGCCAAGTTTTGGCGGTTCTGGGCCAAACGGTCCCAATGGGCGGAACCGACCCACTGTGGTCCTAAGCCCACATGGTCCCGGGCTAAATGGGCCGGTCCCACGGGCCTAAACGGACTTTTTCGTTTCGGGCTATTTTTTTTAAAATTATTTTATCTAAGGCAATTTCTCGTAAACTATATATGTATATACTAATATAAATTGCTTATATATAGCTATATATATAGTATATATAGTATGTATATATAATTATATATTGCCCTATATAATATATAGCTTATATATCTAATACATATAAACTATATATATATATATATAGTTTATATGTATTAGATATATAATATGTATACTATATCAAATTTAAACACAAAATAAATTGTAAAGAAATATTCAAGGGAATGTCTTATAATTTTTATTATTACAACATTAACAAAAAATGGCAATATCTTTTTTAGTCTTCCTCCCTCCAATGGAATGAGCACAACAAGGTACTAATACCACCATTAAAAGGAAAAAAAACTAAGGAAGATGTGCCAAAATACAAGTTACATATTAGTCTATGTATTATCTCTAACAAATCTCATAAATCCTTCAAGGTCCAGAGGAATTTCCATTGGTGGTGGTGGAAAAGAAGCTTGTTCATCACCACTTCCGGGCGAAGCAGCATCCTGCGCAAGTTCAACTTCAAACCGCAGATGCGAAAATACCAGAAGATCAGCTGCTGCAGCAACTTCAACTCCAAAATTTCCTCCATTACACATCTGAATTCATCCCGAGGCCCCCGGGACCTCAACTAAAGGCATCAACATATCCTAAAACCTTATTCGAACTTGTACAAATCTTCAAAACACTTCAAACAACATTAAAACAACCAAAACACATCGGATTCAAGCCTAAGTTTGTAAAATCTTTCGAATTCCGCTTTCGATCAAAAACCCAACCAAAACACGTCCGAATGACCAGAAATTTTGCACACACATCCCAAATGAAATAACGGAACTACTGCAACTCTCGAAATTCCATTCCGGCCCTCGGATCAAAATCTCACTATCGAACCGGAAACTTCCAAAATTCAACTTTCGGCATTTCAAGCCTAAATTAGCTACGGACCTCCAAAACACAATCCGAACACGCTCCTGACCCCAAAATCACCCAACGGAGCTAACTGAACCATCGAATTTCTATTCCGAGGCCGTCTTCATACTGTTCTGACTACGGTCAACTTTCCAACATTTTAGCTCTCAGTTAGGGACTAAGTGTCCCAAAACTCTCCGAAACTCAAAACCGAACATCCCGGCAAATCAAAATAGCAGAAATAAACTTGGGGAAAGCAGTTAATAGGGGATCGGGGCGTTAATTCTTAAGACGACCCGCCGGATCGTTACAAAAGGATTCAGTCAGGATTAATAAGAAGCTTTTAATATGAAGATGTACATATGTTTTAACATCACACTTTTATTTATCTAATAACTAAGTCTTCAACATGGATTCTGCAGCCTGAGGGAACCTATACTATCACGTAGCTAGGATGAGTAGTAAGTACTTCACCTACTGTATATTTAAATTGTTGGATTCGTGTATGTAAATAATATAAAGTAGATAAAGTAATTGTCAGAAACTGCATTTAATTACCAATGATACTCAACTAGTTTAGGCTTATGAGATTAGTAACACAATAAGTCGCAACAACACAGTGAATATACTAAGTATGCGTGCACTTAGATTTGTAGAGATAATGACCTTTGTAACGAGTGGATGAAAAGAAAATGAGACAAATAAATAAATAAATGAGAAATGTAAGCTTCTATTCAGGGACCTTAGCCAGTGATGTGGCACATCTCTTTAACAAGAAATGCTATTTATCTTTTTTGTCATTTTTTTTTTCATTTTACCCAATTTTTCCATTTATTTCCCGCATCAACCGCCATAAAAAAAATTCCCGAAAAGTCACTTTACAAATCCCATTAATTACGAAACGTCCTTTCGCTCCTCTATTTCCTTCCTGCGTAAAACTCCTCATTCTTTATATTTGTAGTTTATAACTTCTTCTCATCTCCTCTGCTTTCTCCAACTCGTCAGACCTAAAATTCTTCTTTTGGTCTGCAATATCTCAATTATGTGTTACCACATAAAAAATCAAAAGTACTTCAGTTTGCCCATCTTGAATGATATGATTTTAGTCTGATAAGATGAATTATCTTCAGGATAATATAAATGTGGAAGATTTGGTTATCAAACGCTTATTCGAGTGTTTCAAAAGGCCCACATATAAATATTTTTCATTACCTAATAATTGGAAATTATTTGCTTCATATTTGCGCATATGCTCTAAAATTTGATTTGGTAGTTAAACTGAAACGTGAAGGACGATGAAGATCCATATACTGCTCTTTCTCTTGTAATCCACGATTTTTTCACAGGTACTCCAATTGTAACTTTTTCCTACACTTTCTTTTTTTCTGCCACTATTTAACAGTGTTATATTTGGAAAACTGAGCGCTTTCAGTTAACATTTGAATGAATAAGTTACTTTATTCATCCAATTTATTTATGTTAAAATCTCAAGATTCATGTCAACAATTAGTTGTTCCATAATTGAGGATCAAATGTTCCCACCAATTAAAGAGAAAAAGAAAATAAAAACATAGAAAGTAGCGCTTGCCCTTTGGCTACATTCTCTGGTGTTGAAATTTTGTCGAACTAGGGTCTTCAAACCTGTGGGATAAAATGGTGACACTTTGCACATTCTCTTCTTTGAGGATTTCCTTCGTAGGCTTTCTCACATCTCGCATACAAATGTAATTGTCCCTATATTTTGAAGAAGTTATGTGTTGAATTCTCATGATGCTCTTTGCACATTTTTGATGATAAGTTGCAAATTTATGAGGTCCGTCTCTAAAGCTGAAGTTTCAGAACTCTTTTAATTATTTGTTGTTTAGTGTATTTAATTTTCCTTTATTGGGATCAAAGCAATTTTTCCATTAATAAAGATATGTAATTTTGGTAGCAAGTTTAAATGCAGCGGTGAGATTGTTTTTATTATTTCAAAGTTGTTTAGCATAAACTTGGTATCGGCTGGTCCAAACTTTTGTTCTTATATATTTCTTCTTTCTTGTATTTTAAACCTCTTTAAATAGAGTTAATATTATATGCTTGACCATCCGCTCCTAAAGACGAATTGGCAAGTCATTTTTGATTAAAATTTAATGTTAAGGAGCCTTAATCGAGTGTTAGCTTAATATCTATCGTCTGATTCAGTTTTCACAATTTGTTGATGACCCAATGATTTTGTACATTTCTGGTCCATTTGATAATTTAGTGTATGTTTGGTGTAACATTGAAAAGGAATAATCTTGACTGAAGGATATGGATATTTTCCTTTTGAAGAATGCAAAATTTGAGATAAAGATGGAAACACTTTATGGATAGTCGCTTGATTATATACAAAATTATTAAGCAAACATTTTATGGTGTATTTAGTTTTGTGCTTTCAGCAAACAAAATTATTGCTATGACTTGTAGGTTGGACCATATAATGTAGGAATGGAGTTATGATTTGTTGAATTTTATTAAGTGTTAGTAATTTGTAATATTCTCTTGGTTCTGTTCATATACCTAGAAGTTTATTTTTATTCCATAATTAAACAAGATAATTAGTGTTTACTAATGTCTATGGTTCTCAATATTCTTTACTGCATGTGTTTTTATGTAGTATAGATCTTGAAGTGTATATTGAGCTTCCTTTAATTTGCTTTTTGTTGGAGCAATAACACAAACAACTTATTTTGTGGAATCTAATAAAAACTGTCAAACTGGAGTACTAAAGTCTGAAGAAGCAGGAGAGCACACCTCAACAATTTGACATTATTTAAATTTGTTGTTAAAGAGTAGTGTAATTTGAAACATATTAGTGGCACAATGAGAAAATATGTCAATATCAGATTTAATTTTTTTCTTTTTTTGTTCGTGTAATTAATTCATGTATGTTCCCTAAAACAGGATGATTATATAGAAATAGAGATACAACATTGGAAAGATAGAGTTTATTGGGCGTGAAACTCTACTAATAGGAAGAAAAAAGAAAAATGATTTTTTCATATATACAAATCAATAAAAAAAAGAAGTATGTGCTAATTTTATCCTGATGTTATACTTTTGTATGTATTTTCTTCTTATATATTTGTTTTTGTAATCTTTTCATATGTATGTTTTACTTCTATATTATTTTTTAAAGTTTTGGTAATATATATCTTGATCTTTTTCATATCGACCAAACTTATAAAAAGAGTTCTTTGAACGCGCAAAGCGCGACCAAACTTATTAACAGGTTTCTACCTGTGTGCTTTTTGTCTAAAATTAGAAATCAAGGGTATTTTTGACTTCTTAGGCATTCAGATCTCGTGTCTCTTAATTTTATAGCCACAGCATCACTACAATCCGCGTGTGTTTTAATACAAAGGCCACAACATCTTCGAACTTACAGCAAAAAGCAGAGCTCCATCAACCTCACCAGATCAACCCGCTCTGTTCCCCGTCCTAGCCTCTGCTCCTGGGTTAGTTTCTTCCACTCGCTCTGAATTCTTTTATATCTTTCTTTCGATCTTACTTTCTATGTTCTCAGTTGGACTGTAAACTACTTTGCCTTTTGTCAATTTTTATTGCACTTTATTGAGCATTTGGTTTTTGCGCTTCTTTTTTTTTTCCACTACGTTTTGTCTGATGCGAATCATTTTTTCACCAGCTATTGACTTCATCTATTGTTACACTGCTTGTTTGAGTTCTATTCTGATTTTTTCTTTATTTCCCAATTTGTTCTTTACATATATGAATTGTCTATGCTCAAACACTTTTTGGTGGAATTTTCAAATTTAAACAAGGAGAAATATATTAGCTTAATATTGATGATTTTGCTCATCTATTATGATTGTTCCCCTTCTTTGTCTTTGCTTAATAATATTGTCAAATTAGGTTGAATTGATTCATGATGTCTTCTCTGCTTCATTTGAACAAATGTGAACTTCACTAGAACTAGGAAACCCCAGAGGGTTTTGGTTGAGTTGGGACTAAGAGTGTACTTATGAAAAAATCCACTCTGGTTTGATGTTTTAGTCTAGAGTAAGATGGTAATTAAGCAAAGTAGCAGACAGATACCAACTAATTTAGTGCAGAATTAAACTGTTCTACCAAAAATCTGACATATGAAAATTGATGCTGGAAGGTTAGGTCTCTTGATTTGCGCCACACTTCTTCTTCATAATACATGTATACATATATGAAGTTATATGATATATTTTTTCTTTCACCTGTATAATATTTTCATTGCTTGATTACTGAAATTCTGAAGTGGATTATGCACTTATGATGTTTGATGATATGCCTTCTTTATTTAGTGCTACTTATTTGGAGTTACATACTTATATTTTGTAGCCAAAATACTTTCTTGGGATAAAACTAAATAGAACTATTGGTTTCGGGAGTGGAGCCACGTACTTCAGTCTGTACGATGAGCCTCTCATTCACATATCCCCTTGTTACTAAAAAGAAAGTAGCTAAGACCAGTTCATACCAAAGAATTTTTTTTGTTATCTTTCATTATTATCTTAGTTCAACCTTTGATGGAAACCTCCTTCTGGTATTTATTTATTTTTTTATTTTTTTTAATAAGGTATTTATATTAAATGTATTGGACAACTACTGAGGATACATTGTTTGATGTAGTTCTCATATGCCAGTGACAAGTAAGTATTTACCACAATTAAATTTTGTTTCTACAATCTATATTCTTTCTTTCCACCATACAGTGNCGACTAGTTGGATTTAGGGTCGTGACACATTCACTTTCATGCCCTCATTTTCTCATTGTTTCTTCTTACTACATTATGTCATCAGAATTTAGTTTATGAATGGATGTTTTCTTAAAATACTGATCTTATTTCAATCAAATAATATGAAATAATAGTAGGAAGGTGGTCAAGATGTTAAAATCTCCGTATAGGATATTTTTCATTAAAAAAATCACTATATAGGACATTCATTTCTACTGGTTGTACATCATTTCATTTACGTTATAAAATTATAGTTCAATCAAAGCACTTTGTGTGATGGAATTTAGGAAGTCTGTTCTTTTACAGAGAGTATATGATTAGTGACCAGACAGAGAGGAAGTTTTTGATTTTTATGTTTACCATTAGGTGTTGATATATGTTGATCAGCTCTAAAAGTTAGGGCACTTAGAAATGAAAGAAAGTACTTGTGTTAATCTGGTTTGAAGTCAATTTGTATGCCTGATAATTATGGAGTACTCTGTATTGTAAGAACGGAGACATAAAATATCAATGGTTAAACATGACAATTTGAAAGTTATAAGAAGTGAGACTCCCATTTTACCTTACTGTTTATGTAGCTCCTCGTAAGTTTATACCATGAATCCCAGTTTGTATCAAGTGCACTTGATGGCCTTTTAACTTGGAAATATGAGGTTGTTCTTGAGCAAGGAATACTCCAATAAGAAATTTTATATCAAATTTAGGAGGACTGTCTTAACAACTACTCCATCTTATTAGTTGAAATCAGGTTGTAATATCTATCGCTGGTTATTGTAACGGAAGTATTAGTGGCACTATGCCAATATAAGGATTAAGGATTAATCCTTTTCCCCATAAATTGTATTGCGAAAATTTTTCATAGTCAAAGAAATATTGTTCTTAAAAAAGGAGTGCTCAGTATTATAATAATATGGGAAGAATAGGAACTTCTGGCGCGCACTAAATACAAGATTCCATAGATATGATACCATAATAAGCTTGCATTTAAAATTTGCCAGAAACTCAAAAGCATTTGAATTTTTTATTCACTGATCCATGTGTGTGGATCGTGTACTGTCATTTAAATATTGGTTCTTTCAAATATTGCATTAGTTTATAATCTTTTTTTTTTGAATTTGGGTGACGTTTGTACAATATCATTATCCATGTAAATTTTTGTTGATGATGGTTCTTACTCCAGTGATTCCTCTCTATTTATCTAGGAGGAGGATGTCAAGAATAAAATAAGGATGATAAGAACATCTTATGATCATGGAGAAAGCATGAAAGAGAAAGAATGATAAGGAGGGGGGAGCTTCCAAGAACAATGAAGGTAACATATAGTTCACCTGCAAAAATGTCAAGATCATCAAGCCTAAACTTTGAGCAAGGGCATACCTAATCCATCTCTTTTACTATTGTGGCTGATTATGATGGAAGAAAACTGTCATTTTTGTATTGTCGTTGCGCTCCCATAGATGTAAAAAGTGTATCATTTGGGGATCATACTATATTTGTGAGTGGATATTTGTTTCAAATTATATCTACTTATATCCAGCGATATTGTCTATATTTGATAAATTTTTACATATCCTCTCTTCTGCCATTTCATATCAAAATAGAGTTAAATTTTTTTTAATAATTTCAGCTTTTACCATATTGGGCCCATGCTATGGGCCAGCACCACCTAGTTATCTAGGGCTAGGGCAATTTGCAGTCGTATCCTACTTTTATGCTACCTTTTAATCTATACCCTATTTTTAAAAACTATTGATTTTGTAACCAACTAACAAAAAATCCGTAATAATATGATCATTATACCCCTTCCAAAACATATAAAAGATGTATCAAGCATAACCAGAATTAAATTCCAGATCTTCTTTGTATCTCCTTCAGCAGTCCGTCTCTCCTGAGATCGTTTCTCGCAAACCAGATTTGAATCAGATTCAAATTCTAAATTCAAAATTACAAAATACATTGTAAGTATTCAAATTCATCTTCAAAATTCAAAATAGCTTTTGAATTACATGTTTTCTAATTGATTGATTGAAGTTGTTTGACGAACTTCACTAATATGCTGAATTTGCATTCTAAATCTATTTGACGGTGAATTCGAACATTCTAATCCGACAAATATGCTGAAACAAGCTGAAGTTATTTAGTTCATATCTAAAAAATTCAGCAAAACGAGCAGGCAAATAACACAACGAAGAAAAAATTATATTAAAACATTATATGAGTGTTTGAATATTTAAAACACCTATACGCAAAAAACTTCGACCTGTCGAAGTTTTTTAGTTAATATTTAAAAACTTCAACCGGAGAAAAAAATATCAATTAAAATTTCATATTGCACAAAAAACTTCGGCATAGGTGTTGAAGTTTTTTAGTTAATATTTACAAACTTCAACAGAAGAAGCTGAATGTTTCCTATTACACTCTGTAAAAAAAATAAAACATCAATTAAAATTTCATATTGCACAAAAAACTTCGCCATAGGTGTTGAAGTTTTTTAGTTAATATTTACAAACTTCAGCAGGAGAAGTTGAATGTTTCCTATTACACTCTGTAAAAAAATAAAACATCAATTAAAATTTCATATTGCAAAAAAGATTTCGGCATAGGTGTTGAAGTTTTTTAGTTAATATTTACAAACTTCAGCAGGAGGAGCTGAAGTTTTCCTCCTACACTGGGTAAAAAATAAAATATAAATTAAAAAATAAAACATAAATTAAAATTTCATATTGCACAAAAAACTTCGCCATAGGTGTTGAAGTTTTCTAGTTAATATTTACAAACTTCAGCAGGAGGAGCTGAAGTTTTCCTCCCGCACTATGTATTTTATTATCATTTTTTGGAAAAACTTCATACCAAAAAATGCTTATGTTTTCAGGAATATGTAAATCATTTTTCATATAATTTTTTGTATGCTGAAATTTTATTTAGTTCGTTTGCTAAAAATGCTTAATATTTTGTCGTGCAATATGTAATTTTCGGATAAGTTTTTGTTAATTGTTCTGTTATTTTCTAAGTTTAAAAAGAATTTTTAGTTCAGGCTTGAAGTTTTCATCAAGCACTGTGTATTTTATTATGATTTTTTGAAAAAACTTCATACCAAAAAATGCTTAATATTCGGATTAGTTTCTGTTAATTCCTGCTGAACTTATATAGTTCATTTCCTCTGCTATTTTTCGACTTTGAATAGAATTAATATTAAAAAAATGCAGAAAAAATTTAAAACAAAAACTGAATATTTCATTAAACATCAAAAAGATAAATTGAACTACATAAATAACAAAATAAATATAAATAACAAAAAGAAAAACTAATCGTCCATATCATCATCGTCACTACCAGATGGACGAGCATCTTCATCAGCAAGATTATCAAATCTTGCATACATCACAAGCGTATCAAGCTTGTTGTTAATTTCTTCCAGCTCCATGTCGTACTTGTGTATGAGCTCATCCAGTTTTAGCTCAAAAGCCTCTATAATGTCTTGTTTGATTTCTTCCACTATTTGCCTGATGACAACATCCATTTTTTCCTTTTTGTATTTTATTATGTCTGCTAAAATATGTGTTTGAGTGAATAAACTCACAAGGAATAGCGTGCTTATATAGGGGGAAAAAACTTCTCCATGGTATATGAAAAGGCAAAGAGGAATTTTAAACGTTGTCTACTGAAAAGCGTGCATGAATGTGATAGAAATGTAATTATTACACTAACACATAGCCCCAACGCAATATAATTACTACTTTAATTGTGTAGGTTACTCCTGTATACTATGCAATTAATGCTGAAACATGCTCAAGTTTGTTGAATTCATTTGCTAAAACTTCAGCCCAATGTGCTGAAGTTCTTTAGTTCATTTCTAAAATCTTCAGCACCTAATGAGCTGAAGTTGTTTTCCCTGCATTCATGAATCCCTGTCATACAACTTTTTCAAAAAAACTTCAGCTGATATGTTGAAGTTATTAAGCTTATTTCTAAAAACTTTTGTACTTAATAAGCTGAAGTTTTCTGTGCAGCATTCATTAATTATGTCATACATCGTTTTTCAAAAAAATTTAGCAGAAGATGCCTAAGTGATTAGTTCATTTGTAAAAACTTCAGCACAAACAACCTAAAATTCTTCTATTCATTTTCCTAATACTTGCCACTAACATGAATCTGCAGGATGAGTTCAATTTGCGTTGTTATAACTTTCAATGGGAGTTGGACTCCTGATTTCAAATACTTGGATCATGATACAAAACTTATTCTACTTAATAAGCACATATCATTCAATACTTTCCTGAAGAAAATTAGTGAAGTTGCAAATATTGATTCAACCAGATATGCACTAAAAGTATGGTTTGATATCAAACTAAATACAAGCAAAGGAATGCTTGTAACTTCAGATGAAGAACTCAGTACCTGTATACATTTGCTTACAACTGATTCACCCTACAAGAATTGCCATTTCATCATCGAAAAAATATATCCTTTAGAATCTGCAACATTCAAACAATCGCTTGTATATGCGATAGATTCAGAACCTTTTGCTGATTATCAACATGAAGTAGGACAGCCAATAATGGAAGTAGACAACGAGCAACAACCTTCTAACATTACAGCTGCTTTAGAATATATAATGCTGCAACAACTACCCCCTCATCCAATAAATTCATACCAGTTTGTTGATGACCAAGAAGAAGAAGGACAACTAATAATGCAAATTGACAACCAACACACAATCCAACAAAGCTTTTTGTTACCTTCTGCAATGATAAGCAACAGCGAAGATGAAGTAAACATGGAGCTTATACCGATAACATCAGATAGAATTGAAGAAATTGCTGAAAGTTCTTGTGCTTCTCAGAAATCAAGAAAAAGAGTGAGGAGAAAGCTGAAAGAATCTCCACCATGTAAAATACTTAGGCACGATGCGTTGCATGAGGAAGTAAGAGTTGGCTCAATTTTTGAGAACAAACAAAACATGACTAAATTTTTCTACAGCTTGGAGATAAACCAGAAAGTTGAATTCACTGCTGTTAGATCATGTTCAAAGAGATACGAGCTGAAATGTATCGTGGACAAATGTGGTTGGAATGTACGTGCTACCAGAATAAAAAATTCCACACTTCAGGGTGATAAAATATCATAACATCCATGAATGCTCGGTTGATGCAAGAAAATCATATCAGAAGCATGCTACATCAAATTTTATAAGTGAACAAATTATAGAACATGTTCGAGACAAAAAGATAGAGGTTACACCAGCCTTTGTAGAAAATAAAATGAAAAAGAAATTTGGAATTGACATTGGTTATCACAAGGCATGGCGTGCTATTCAAAAAGTTGTTGCTTGCATAAGGGGAATACCTGAAGAGAACTACCAGATTCTTCTTTCATACCTACACATGATGGGGGGCAAAAACTCATCAAGCATAAAAAGAAATGCGCAGAATAGGTAAGCAAAACAATACTAACCATCAGCCTGAAGTTTCATATTCCTATTTGAAAAACTTCACATCTTATGATTTGTTTTTTTGTGTTTCACTGTACAGATTTGCTTACATCTTCTTTGCTCCTGCGGCATCAATAGCTGATTGGTCCTACTGTAGACCCGTTATTGCAGTAGATGCAACGTTTTTAAAGTCAAAATATCGTGGTGTTCTATTTGTTATTGTATCAAAGAATGCAAACAATCAAATATTTTCTCTATGTTTTGGTGTAGCAGATTCAGAAAACAATGCGGCATTCATTTGGTTCTCCGGGGAAATGAGAAAAGCAATTCAAATCCGTCGTGAACTGGTTTTCTTGTCAGATAGAAACCAATCAATCGCAAATGAGATTAGAAAAGTTTTTCCTGAAGCTCACCATGGTATCTGCCTCTATCACTTTGACAAAAATTTAAAGCAAAGACATGCAAAAGCCACGGTAATAAATCTTTTTCAAAGTGCTGCAAGGTCATACAAACGTGAAGATTTTAATCAGTTAATGTCCCAACTCAAAAGTATTGACAAAAAAACATACAATTACATAATGGAAGAGCCTCCCGAGAGATGGGCTCGAACGTGGTTCCCACGGCGACGTTATGATATGCTAATAACAAACATGGTAGAATCAATGAATTCTGTTTTACTAAAAGAGAGAGAAATTCCTATTTTAAGAATGTTAGATTTCATCCAAGAAAAGTTGGGAGAGTGGTTTTATGAACGGAGAAAAACGACAAATGAAAATTTTCACATAGTATCAATATGGGCAGAAGAAGAGATGACTAGGAAGATGGGCTTGGCTTGCAAAATGTTTGTGAGTATATTTATTAACTTCAGCTTTTTATATCTGTTGAAGTGATTTACCGCTTACATTTAAAAAATTTCATACTTTTTCTTTTTGAAGCAAAAATACACTAATATAGTTTGTCTTTATTTTTTATTCCTTGTTAGGTGTTTAACCTTGACTCAATGTTGTTTAGAATAAATAGTGAAGGAATCAAATTCATTGTGGACTTAAAGAAGAGAACATGTGACTGCCTGAAATTCCAACTTGATGAATTGCTCTATCCACATGCAATTGCTGCTATAAATAAGAGA